CAATAGTCTGTGATGAGATAGAAGCTCTGGCTCCAAACCAGATCCACTCAGAGGTCGATACGAGCAGGAAGCACAGCACACTGTAAACCCTAACTTCAATCCTACTTCAGATATCAAAGTTATTTTAAATAGATTTTTCCCAGTAAGTAGATATTACTCATTTATTGTTAGTTTATTTAAAGATTGCCTATGTTACTCAGGGTTTTCTTTGAATTGAACTGTTTCTGTTCAAGTAAGCCTCACTTTTGACATTTTGATGTGTAGAGTCTTTAATGAGGCAGGTGTGACAATGACAGGGTGTCCTGGTGGCTGAGTGGGTAGCACCATTGCCTCTCAACCACAGAGTTCTGAGTACGATTCCCGGTCAGAGCATAAGAAGAAATTTAAACTTTATTGCAATCACTTGAGTTACTTGGTAATATCAAGTAAACAATGTACTCGAGGAATTCAAGTGAAGTTAATACGCAATTTATTTCCATGGTTTTTTCAAGTAAACTTTACTTGTGAGGGTTTACAGTAGCACTCAGAGTCCGAGAGCAAAGGTACAGGCAGCGAGCAAAGGTACAGGAACTGGGTTAGCCCTGGGACTTCATGCTTATCGTGAGGATCATCAGACTCACATCAGACTAACTGTTTTGTGGTCATTTTTTCCTGAACAAAACTAGTTCAGTTCTTTGTGTTTGGACTGAACCAAAGCTGGGTCAAAGTTAAAGTTATGCATATTTACGTGTTTGGGTTAAAGTTTTAGACTACGCTGAATTATATGGTATTATCTTGAGAAATGTAGCTTTGACATGAGGTATAACACGCCATGGAAGCTCACACTCACCAACCATCAATGCTGCAAGTCCATAGTAATACCTGAATATCATTTCAGGGGCCACTAAATGAGTCTGGTGGGCCGCATTTGGGCCGGGGGCCGCGTGTTGGACACATGTGAACGAGATAAACACCAGTTCAACGACAAAGGAAGAGGTCTTTGCAAACACAGATTTCTCCGTTTTGAAAATGCATCAAAAAGTGGCAATACCTCGAGCTGCAATCTTCTAAATCTTTTGTTATTGGGAGAACTTTGAAATAATTTTTTGGAGAAGCGGTGATACTTTATTTGTACGAGAAAAGAGTAAAATTGGTAAAAAGAGTAAGAATGTCTAATATTTGTTGCATGGCACTTATGTTTATTATGTAAAGGATTCAAGTGTTACGTTAGCATCCGGGACGTCGTGATTAGCGTGAGATGGGATTTTGAGAGACTACAGTGTTTTTCGGTTTTATCTGTCTATGAATATAAACTGTTACATTTTGATTGATGAAAAGATCGTTCAGATTCATTTAATTTGTAGTAATACCACAATCTACTGAAATAATGATACTATAATAAGAATGACTGGATTCTGTCAAAGAGAAGGGCTCAGTTTCTGCTTTAACACGTCTCTCTCTCTCTCTCTCTCTCTCTCTCTCTCTCTCTCTCTCTCTCGCTCTCTCTCTCTCTCTCTCTCTCTCTCTCGCTCTCTCGCTCTCTCTCTCTCGCTCTCTCTCACCTTAGCTAATAACAGCCTCATCACTTTGACGTCCACAGAAATCTCCATCTGATCCAGGGTCGTTAGTTAAACTGAGCAACGTTCATTTTCCCATCTCATAATTCAATTTCTATTCGTTTTCCATGTATCATAATCATAATGGAACGTAATCTCTCATTTGTTCAACACTCACTCATGGATTTAATAGAACAGGCTCATATCAGCAGCAGGATCCACTCTTATGTATTATTAAACCGACTCGGACTCTGAGGAGCACAGGGACTGGCCTCCTGCTGGGACTTTGAGGAGCACAGGGACTGGCCTCCTGCTGGTCCCAGAGTCAGGACTAAACATGAGGAGGCAGTGTTTCAGATTCATGCAGCTAAAATCTGGAACAGTCTTCTTGAAAACGTGAGCGAGGATTCTTATCTGACAGGCCAAAAACGGTTCTGTTTTGCTGCAACAACTGAAGGATTCTATATCTCTAACACTCGCTTTAATGCACTGTTATTATTTATGATTAAAATGCCTGTGTGATTGTTTCTATCTTGTTTTTTCAAATACTTTGAGTTGCCTTGTGTCTGAACATTGTGTATTGTTGTAGAATTAAAATGTTGTATGCTAAATGATTTTAATAAACAGGCCCTCTGAAGACCTGTGCACTCAGGAAAAACCCCAAGGACACAAGATAGTAAACAGGAATAAAAAAGGGTCGAATCGAGAGCTACAATCAGTCATGAAGATACCAGCCTTCAAAACAGGAATTATTAACTCCATAAATAAACAATCCTCTGCCTCCCTCTCTGGCGAGATCAAAGCAGACTGGGGGATTCACCAACGGCGTTCTGACGCCTCCCAGTGGACAAGGGACGCCAGCACACCCGAAATGAACATTCAGAGACGCACAGAGATGACGTCATCGGACGTTCTCTACTTATGACCTTGCCTAAATGTTTGAGTTCAGTCAGACAGGGGTGAGCGCATAGGGAGAAGGTAGGCATAGTTAGGATAGGAGCTTGTTGAATTTATGTATCTGATTGTAAAGATAAATTAAATACAGATGTTAAACTTGGAAATCTTCGTCTTGTTTTCTGCATCAAACTTTGAACACGTCAGTCAAATCTTTTTTGACAACAGTATACACATTACTTCTACCTTCTCCTTTATACATAAATACAAATATGCAAATGAGTTCATAGTGTGGTTAAACTGTGCAGCTGTAATATTGACTAAAGAACTAAAAGTAGCAATATGTAAGATTGTCATGTCAAGCCCTAATCTGTCCAAAGGCATTAATAAAACATGTCCTTTTCCAATACTTCTTTAACTGATAACAGTAGTTCAGAGAGATTCAGATTTCCAAATTTGTTTTCCAGCCTCTAAATCTTTCTTCACCAATCAGAAAGTCTGTGATCCGGGCGCCGGAACTCACCGCGTGAAGCCAATGTCACTGGTAAAGTACCATGTGGCGCAGAACTAAAAAAGCTCTCGTTATGATTCTCAAATCATTAACGACAAAACAAGGAATAAAACCAGGATTTCTATCTTTGTGAAAAAGGTGTTGGTTATAGATTTGTTGTTGACAAAACTCTTGTCTATTCAGCTGTTATGGTCCCAGCTGGATTCGTCTGCATATCTGGCAACCTGAGTCAGGGAGAGTGGGAGAGGCTGCAGTACCACTTCTGGTCAGATTTATACATACTGCTCCTTTACAGTAAAGCGAATAAGTAACAGAGAAAGACAAAGAGAGAGAGAGACAGACAGAGAGAGAAAAGAGAGAGACAGACAGAGAGAGAGACAGAGAGAGAAAGAGACAGAGAGAGAGAGACAGACAGATAGAAAGAGAGAGAGAAAGAGACAGAGAGAGAGAGAGAGAGAGACAGAGAGAGAAACAGAGAGAGAGAGAGACAGAGAGAGAGACAGAGAGAGAAACAGAGAGAGAGAGAGTGAAAGAGAGAGAGAGACAGACAGACAGAGAGAGAGGTTGCAGTACCACTTTTGGCCAGATTTTTACATACTACTCCTTTAAAGCTAATAAGTAACACGTGCGACTGAGGCTCCCACCAAAACCAACACTAACATCTTCTCCCGCCTCCAAATCCCTGTAATCCTCTGCGTCCCTGTGATCCTCTGCGTCCCTGTGATCCTCTGCGTCCCTGTGATCCTCTGTGTTCTTTCACTCCTCACTCACCGAAGAGCTGACGGTGGAATATGAACTTCCCGGCGAGCAGTCCGGCGATGACGGCGGCGATCCAGCAGACCACTTTGAGCACGTTCCAGCCCGAGCCCGGATACTTGTTGAAGAGGAAAGAGAAGCAGTTGCCCACGACGACCATGTGGGCCTCGGTCTGGCTGTGGGAGATGGGGTCCTCCGCGAAGAGCAGGAAGTTGAAGAACGTGACGAGATACGCCACGATGAGGCGCGACCACGGGTGCTGGAAGTAATATCGGAACCAGGCATCTATCTCCATCACAGACACACTATACCTGCAAGACAGAGAGGGAGAGAGACTGAGAGAGGGAGAGACTGAGGGAGGGAGAGACTGAGAGAGAGAGAGACTGAGAGAGGGAGAGACTGAGGGAGGGAGAGACTGAGAGAGAGACTGAGGGAGAGACTGAGGGAGAGACTGAGGGAGAGAGACTGAGAGAGAGAGACTGAGAGAGAGAGACTGAGGGAGAGACTGAGGGAGAGACTGAGGGAGAGAGACTGAGAGAGAGAGACTGAGAGAGAGAGACTGAGGGAGAGACTGAGGGAGAGACTGAGAGAGAGAGACTGAGGGAGAGACTGAGAGAGAGAGACAGAGAGAGAGAGAGACTGAGGGAGAGACTGAGGGAGAGACTGAGAGAGACTGAGGGAGAGACTGAGAGAGAGACTGAGGGAGAGACTGAGGGAGAGACTGAGGGAGAGAGACAGAGAGAGAGAGACTGAGAGAGAGAGACTGAGGGAGAGACTGAGGGAGAGACTGAGAGAGAGAGACTGAGAGAGGGAGAGACTGAGGGAGGGAGAGACAGAGAGAGGGAGAGACAGAGAGAGAGAGAGACTGAGGGAGAGACTGAGGGAGAGACTGAGAGAGAGAGAGAGACTGAGGGAGAGACTGAGGGAGAGACTGAGAGAGAGAGAGACTGAGGGAGAGAGAGACTGAGGGAGAGACTGAGGGAGAGACTGAGGGAGAGAGATTGAGAGAGGGAGAGACTGAGGGAGGGAGAGACTGAGGGAGAGACTGAGAGAGAGAGTGAGAGAGAGAGACTGAGAGAGAGAGACTGAGAGAGAGAGAGACTGAGAGAGAGAGAGACTGAGGGAGGGAGAGACTGAGAGAGTGAGAGACTGAGAGAGGGAGAGACAGAGAGGGAGAGACTGAGGGAGAGACTGAGGGAGAGACTGAGAGAGAGAGAGACTGAGAGAGAGAGAGAGACTGAGGGAGAGACTGAGAGAGAGAGAGACTGAGGGAGAGACTGAGAGAGAGAGACTGAGAGAGAGACTGAGAGAGAGAGACTGAGAGAGGGAGAGACTGAGGGAGAGACTGAGGGAGAGAGACTGAGAGAGAGAGAGACTGAGGGAGAGACTGAGGGAGAGAGACTGAGAGAGAGAGAGACTGAGGGAGAGACTGAGGGAGAGACTGAGGGAGAGAGACTGAGAGAGGGAGAGACTGAGGGAGGGAGAGACTGAGAGAGGGAGAGACTGAGAGAGAGAGAGACTGAGGGAGAGACTGAGAGAGAGAGACTGAGAGAGAGAGACTGAGGGAGAGACTGAGAGAGAGAGAGACTGAGGGAGAGACTGAGAGAGAGAGAGACTGAGAGAGAGAGACTGAGGGAGAGACTGAGAGAGAGAGAGACTGAGGGAGAGAGACTGAGGGAGACTAAGAGACAGACAGAGAGAGAGAGAGAGGGAGAGAGACAGAGAGAGAGAGACTGAGAGAGAGAGACTGAGGGAGAGACTGAGAGAGAGAGAGACTGAGGGAGAGAGACTGAGGGAGACTAAGAGACAGACAGAGAGAGAGAGAGAGGGAGAGAGACAGAGGGAGAGAGACTGAGGGAGAGAGTGAGAGAGAGAGACTGAGGGAGAGACTGAGAGAGAGAGAGACTGAGAGAGAGAGAGACTGAGGGAGAGACTGAGGGAGAGACTGAGAGAGAGAGACTGAGATAGAGAGAGACTGAGAGAGAGAGAAACTGAGAGAGAGAGAGACTGAGAGAGAGAGAGACTGAGAGAGAGAGCGACTGAGGGAGAGAGAGACTGAGGGAGAGACTGAGGGAGAGACTGAGAGAGAGAGAGACTGAGGGAGAGACTGAGAGAGAGAGAGACTGAGGGAGAGACTGAGAGAGAGAGACTGAGAGAGAGACTGAGAGAGAGAGAGACTGAGGGAGAGAGACTGAGGGAGAGACTGAGAGAGAGAGAGACTGAGGGAGAGAGACTGAGGGAGAGACTGAGAGAGAGAGAGACTGAGGGAGAGAGACTGAGAGAGAGAGACTGAGGGAGAGACTGAGAGAGAGAGAGACTGAGGGAGAGACTGAGAGAGAGAGACTGAGAGAGAGAGAGACTGAGAGAGAGAGAGACTGAGGGAGAGACTGAGGGTGAGAGAGAGAGACTGAGGGAGAGACTGAGAGAGAGAGACTGAGAGTGAGAGAGACTGAGAGAGAGAGAGACTGAGGGAGACTAAGAGACAGACAGAGAGAGAGAGGGAGGGAGAGAGACTGAGGGAGAGAGACTGAGGGAGAGACTGAGGGAGAGACTGAGAGAGAGAGACAGAGAGAGAGAGACTGAGGGAGAGAGTGAGAGAGAGAGGGAATAAGAGAGAGAGACTAAGAGAGAGACAAAGAGAGACTGAGAGAGACAGAGAATGAGAGAGAGAGACTGAGGGAGAGAGAGACTGAGAGAGGGAGAGACTGAGGGAGAGACTGAGGGAGAGACTGAGGGAGAGACTGAGGGAGAGAGACTGAGGGAGAGACTGAGGGAGAGACTGAGGGAGAGACTGAGAGAGACTGAGGGAGAGACTGAGGGAGAGAGATTGAGAGAGGGAGAGACTGAGGGAGAGACTGAGGGAGAGAGACTGAGGGAGAGACTGAGGGAGAGACTGAGGGAGAGACTGAGAGAGACTGAGGGAGAGACTGAGGGAGAGACTGAGGGAGAGAGATTGAGAGAGGGAGAGACTGAGGGAGAGACTGAGAGAGAGACTGAGAGAGAGAGAGACTGAGAGAGAGAGAGACTGAGGGAGGGAGAGACTGAGAGAGTGAGAGACTGAGAGAGGGAGAGACAGAGAGGGAGAGACTGAGGGAGAGACTGAGGGAGAGACTGAGAGAGAGAGAGACTGAGAGAGAGAGAGACTGAGGGAGAGACTGAGAGAGAGAGAGACTGAGAGAGAGAGAGACTGAGGGAGAGACTGAGAGAGAGAGACTGAGAGAGAGACTGAGGGAGAGACTGAGAGAGAAAGACTGAGAGAGGGAGAGACTGAGGGAGAGACTGAGAGAGAGAGAGACTGAGGGAGAGACTGAGAGAGAGAGAGACTGAGGGAGAGACTGAGGGAGAGAGATTGAGAGAGAGAGAGACTGAGGGAGAGACTGAGGGAGAGAGACTGAGGGAGAGACTGAGAGAGACTGAGGGAGAGACTGAGAGAGAGAGAGACTGAGGGAGAGACTGAGGGAGAGAGAGACTGAGGGAGAGACTGAGAGAGAGAGACTGAGAGAGAGAGAGACTGAGAGAGAGAGAGATTGAGTGAGAGACTGAGAGAGAGAGACTGGGGGAGAGACTGAGAGAGAGAGAGACTGAGGGAGAGAGACTGAGGGAGAGACTGAGAGAGAGAGAGACTGAGGGAGAGAGACTGAGGGAGAGACTGAGAGAGAGAGAGACTGAGAGAGAGAGACTGAGAGAGAGAGAGACTGAGGGAGAGAGACTGAGAGAGAGAGAGACTGAGGGAGAGACTGAGGGAGAGAGACTGAGAGAGAGAGAGACTGAGGGAGAGACTGAGGGAGAGAGACTGAGGGAGAGACTGAGAGAGACTGAGGGAGAGACTGAGGGAGAGACTGAGAGAGAGAGACTGAGGGAGAGACTGAGAGAGACTGAGGGAGAGACTGAGGGAGAGACTGAGAGAGAGAGACTGAGGGAGAGAGACTGAAGGAGAGACTGAGAGAGAGAGACTGAGAGAGAGAGAGACTGAGGGAGACTAAGAGACAGACAGAGAGAGAGAGAGAGGGAGAGAGACTGAGGGAGAGAGACCAAGGGAGAGAGACTGAGGGAGAGACTGAGGGAGAGACTGAGAGAGAGAGACAGAGAGAGAGAGACTGAGGGAGAGAGTGAGAGAGAGAGGGACTAAGAGAGAGAGACTGAGAGAGAGACAGAGATAAAGAGAGACTGAGAGAGACAGAGAATGAGAGAGAGAGACTGAGGGAGAAAGAGAAAGAGACAGAGAGATATATACTGAGTTCTAGTTTGGAAGTTGCCAGCCTAACTGTTGCTAGCATAGCAGCGGGAAAGCCTTTGGGAAGTATTTTATTTTCTTTCTTATTTTAAACAAACCTTTCGGCATTCCTAAAAGTGGACTGAAGTTTATGTTGTGTGTTCTGTTGGTATAAAGCCGTGTAATAAGCGGGATAACGTATAGTGCGCAGGTCATTATCGGAAAATAAGTTCCTTCAGGGCGAAGCGGACCTGTCGGTACTTATTTTCCGATATTGTAAGTTAGTGCAATACGTGCCATAAGTGACAGTGTAGGTCAATCCTACTGCAGTTTGCTGGAACAATTGTGGTTAGCTTAAAATAATAAACTATATTCTTGTTGACTAGTTATAACCTTAAACATACTCAACAGCAGAAACAGACAACACAGGAATAAACTCACATCGATGACAAACACACAACTTTACAACAGGTGCGAACAACTGACGACTGCGAGAAGCCTAGAGGTTACCATAGCAACATCCCTTTTACCATAGCAACATCCCTTTTACCATAGCAACATCCCTTTTACCATAGCAACATCCCTTTTACCATAGCAACATCCCTTTTACCATAGAAACATCCCTTTTACCATAGCAACATCCCTTTTACCATAGCAACATCCATTTTACCATAGCAACATCCCTTTTACCATAGAAACATCCCTTTTACCATAGCAACATCCCTTTTACCATAGCAACATCCATTTTACCATAGCAACATCCCTTTTACCATAGCAACATCCCTTTTACCATAGCAACATCCCTTTTACCATAGCAACATCCATTTTACCATAGCAACATCCCTTTTACCATAGAAACATCCCTTTTACCATAGCAACATCCCTTTTACCATAGCAACATCCCTTTTACCATAGCAACATCCCTTTTACCATAGAAACATCCCTTTTACCATAGCAACATCCCTTTTACCATAGCAACATCCCTTTTACCATAGCAACATCCCTTTTACCATAGCAACATCCCTTTTACCATAGCAACATCCATTTTACCATAGCAACATCCCTTTTACCATAGCAACATC